CTGGTAACATGTACAGTGAGGGAAAAAAGTATTTTATCCCCTACCCATTTTCAATGCCCTGGCTGAGGGAAGGAGGTTCTCACATGGCCCCGTCCATTGTCCCTTTGATGCGGTGAAGTTGTCCTGTCCCCTTAGCAGAAAAACACCCCCAAAGCATAATGTTTCCACCTCCATGTTTGACGGTGGGGATGGTGTTCTTGGGGTCATAGGCAGCATTCCTCCTCCTCCAAACACGGCAAGTTGAGTTGATGCCAAAGAGCTCCATTTTGGTCTCATCTGACCACAACACTTTCACCCAGTTCTCCTCTGAATCATTCAGATGTTCATTGGCAAACTTCAGACGGCCCTGTATATGTGCTTTCTTGAGCAGGGGGACCTTTTTTAAAAACATTTTAGTCATTTATCCAGAGCAACTTACAGTTAGTTGCATAATTTTTTTTTAAAAAAAATTTACATACTGGCCCCCCGTGGGAAACGAACCGACAACCCTGGCGTTGCAAACGCCATGCTCTACCAACTGAGCTACATTACATCCCTGCTGGCCATTCCATCCCCTACCCTGGACGACGCTGGGCCAATTGTGCACCGCCCCATGGGTCTCCCGGCCAGCTACGACAGAGCCTGGATTCGAGTGGCACAGCTAGCACTGCGATGCAGTGCCTTAGACCACTGCGCCACTCGGGAGGCCCACGGAGGACCTTGCGGGCGCTGACCCAGATATGTTCTTGCTACTGCTTTAATTGCTTGGAGTTTGTAATGTAAATATTTCCCTTTGTTGAACGTTTATTTGTCAAACGTCGACACAACAATTCTGCTTCTCAGTGAACTTATTTAAACTAAGTAGAATTTACATCACAGATTTAGCTTAAGCATGCACATTAATTAGTCAAATTAAAATTAAGCATTTATAATAGGTTTTGTGTTTATGTACTCAGTACTGTATATTTCACACTTTCAGTAGTCATTTGTGGCACTGTTGAAATTGAGTGTTTACTGCGTGTTACTGCAGTAAGACATTGTTTAATGCTAAAATATACTACATGACCAAAGGTATGTGGACACCTGCTTGTCAAACATCTCATTCCAAAATCATGGGCATTAATATGGAGTTGGTCCCCCCCCATTGCTGCTATAACAGCCTCCACTCTTCTGGGAAGGCTTTCCACTAGCTGTTGTTGGGGAGACCATTGTTGGGGATTTGCTTCCATTCAGCCGCAAGAGCATTAGTGAGGTCGGGCACTGATGTTGGGCTGATTAGGGGTCAGGGCTCTGTGCAGGCCAGTGAAGTTCTTCCACACCGATCTCGACAAACCATTTCTGTATGGACCTCGCTTTGTTCCCGGAGGCATTGCATTGCTGAAACAGGAAAAGGCCTTCCCCAAACTGTTGCCACAACGTTGGAAGCACAGAATCATCTAGAATGTCATTGTATGCTGTAGTGTTAAGATTTCCCTTCACTGGAACTAAGGGGCCTAGCCCGAACCATGAAAAACAGCCCCAGACCATTATTCCTCCTCCACCAAACTTTAAAATTGGCACTATGCATTGGGGCAGTTAGCATTCTCCTGGCATCCGCCAAACCCATATTTGTCCAATGGTGGCGAGCTTTAAACCGCTCAGGCCGATGCATGGCATTGCGCATGGTGATCTTAGGCTTGTGTGCGGCTGCTCGGCCATGGAAACCCATTTCATGAAGCCCCCCTGACGAACAGTTCTTGTGCTGATGTTGCCTCCAGAGGCAGTTTTGAACACGGTAGTGAGCGTTGCAACTGAGGACAGACGATTTTTACGCGCTATGCGCTTCAGCACTGGTTCCGTTCTGTGAGCTTGTGTGGCCTACCACTTTGCGGCTGTGCCGTTGTTGCTCCTAGACGTTTCCACTTCACAATAACAGCACTTACAGTTGACCGAGGCAGCTCTAGCAGGGCAGAAATTTGACGAACTGACTTGTTGGAAAGGTAGTATCCTATAACTGTGCTACATTGAAAGTCACTGAGCTCTTCAGCAAGGCCATTCTACTGCCAATGTTTGTCTATGGAGATTGCATGGCTGTGTGCTCAATTTTATACACCTATCAGCAACGGGTGTGGTTGAAATAGCCGAATCCACTAATTTGAAGGGTAGTCCACATACTTTTGGCCATGTGTGGCCTTAGTGTATGTCAACATATACACCAAGGCTGGGATTAAATCCAAGGCGCGTTAAAGGGCAGCACATTGCTCTTGACTTTTGAAGGTCAGCTGACATGCGCAGCGTTTACTGTGAATGGGATCTCCGTGAATGACGGGGAAATTGCCTTTAGGTACATCGGCTGTCCAGTGCGCTACTCTATAGCGTGCCTCGAATTGAATCCCAGCCTCAAAGTTTTCATCAAAGTTTTACCAAAGTAAACAAAGTTCACAATAATTATCACTTTTATTCAGGAAATGCCTTCTGCACAAAATATATATATATCAATCAGTAAACATCATAGAATCTGTGCACGTTTCGTTCCTCCACTTTACAAATACTGTATGAACAATCAATAAAATAATATTATTTTCATACAATATAAAATGTACACATACTGCAGTGATAGAATGACAAGCAGTTTCAAACAAGGACCAGTCAGACCTTTAAATCATTTGGCAGTTGAAGGTACTGATGATGATGACGATGTTGACAATGATGATGATTCATGAAACAAGTATGATAAGGCAATGGCTCCCAAACTATGACTCAGGTAGGTAGCACCTAAAGTGGGCTTGGGGACAGCTCCATGTCCACATACTGTACTGTAGGTCCTTGTAGTCCTAAAGGTTGATAGGAACCGGTCCTAGACATTGCCATTACATTAAAGGAACTAGTCGTTGTGCTGTTTGGCCAACAGTTAGCTTTTTGTTCGCACTGACAACATCTATCTAAACAAGAATCCACATCTGCATTAGTACATAGTTTACAGATCCGTCATAATCTGTAATAATAATTAGTGTTTTCTGGAAAAGTTATTCTCAGAGCCTACAACATTAACAGTGATGGGCTTTGAGGGCAAGGGAAATATTTGGCAACCCAAGGATTATGGAGATGGTAGAAAATATTTGTCCTGTTTTCCAAAGGTCTGGAGAGAAACTTAACTGTGGCTGCACTACAGAAAGCCAAGCTTACAACCACAGCTCCCTATATAAAGGAAAGAAGAAAACAAAACATGTCAGTTTCAAACTATTCTTAAATAGAGCAAAACTACAATTATAACAGGATATGTCACTATTCCATTGATGGATTTGTTAAGATATTCTTGTCATAGTGCTCATTTGTTCAGCTACATGGGCTAAGGGGTAAGACACAAGGAATATGGATTAAAGCCTATATTGTCTATATAACAAAACATATTTGTTCAAACAACAAATACTGTAACAAGAGTTTTTCCAAATAATGTTGCATTGTTAATACAGAAAACCAAGCACCTCCTCCAGAAATGTGGTGCCACTAGAAACATGGATGCTCATCATTGGAGTTATGCTGATACAGTGAGGGAAAAAATTATTTGATCCCCTGCTGATTTTGTATGTTTGCCCACTGACAAAGAAATTATCAGTCTATAATTTTAATGGTAGGTTTATTTGAACAGTGAGAGACAGAATAACAACAAAAAAATCCAGAAAAACACATGTCAAAAATGTTATAAATTGATTTGCATTTTAATGAGGGAAATAAGTATTTGACCCCCTCTCAATCAGAAAGATTTCTGGCTAGCAGGTGTCTTTTATACAGGTAACGAGCTGAGATTAGGAGCACACTCTGTCAAATCTTGGGTGAGAACCTCCTTCCCTCAGTCAGGGCATTGAAAATGGGTCGTGGATGGGTATTCCAACATGACAATGACCCAAAACACATGGCCAAGGCAACAAAGGAGTGGCTCAAGAAGAAGCACATTAAGGTCCTGGAGTGGCCTAGCCAGTCTCCAGACCTTAATCCCATAGAAAATATGTGGAGGGAGCTGAAGGTTCGAGTTGCCAAACGTCAGCCTCGAAACCTTAATGACTTGGAGAAGATCTGCAAAGAGGAGTGGGACAAAATCCCTCCTGAGATGTGTGCAAACCTGGTGGCCAACTACAAGAAATGTCTGACCTCTGTGATTGCCAACAAGGTTTTTGCCACCAAGTACTAAGTAATGTTTTGCAGAGGGGTCAAATACTTATTTCCCTCATTAAAATGCAAATCAATTTATAACATTTTTGACATGCGTTTTTCTGGATTTTTTTGTTGTTATTCTGTCTCTCATTGTTCAAATAAACCTACCATTAAAATTATAGACTGATCATGTCTTTGTCAGTGGGCAAATGTAGAAAATCAGCAGGGGATCAAATACTTTTGTCCCTCACTGTATGAGCAAACAAACATACTTTGATATATGCTGTACACATGAAACATTGATTTGCCTTCAAATTATTATAATAATTAATAAGGGTATATAGAGTATATCTAATGGAGCTACATAAAAGATCTAGAGCATTGACCACAAACTGCAGTTTGAAGTTAATATCAAATAGCAAGAAGCTACATAGTTATTAAAATAAATGTGCAATCCCATGATCGATTTTTTAAAGAACTTATACTAGCATACCCCTAAAAGCATTGTCCTACCTAAAGAAAGGTACAAAACAATAGAAGATCAACTGAGAGTAGATAGAAATGGTAACTCTATAAAACAAAAAATTGATCGCTCTCCATCTCTAGTAGTTACTAGAATAGCAGCAGAATGATTGTGTAAAGTCTAAACCCGTGGAACGCAAGCGATTGAAAAACAAGAGCCACCAACTCATTGATTGTTGATCTCTTTCCCTGTATCAGCAGAAAAATGTCCCCCAATCCCTTTCTGGATCACACGTCTCTGTCTCTTTCTTCAATACTGATAATCCATGATGTGGAACATACTTTACAAACACACCCCACAGTACGCAACGCAACAGGTTACTAGCAGTTACATTTGACATTTACATTTTAGTCATTTAGCAGACGCTCTTATCCAGAGCGACTTACAGTTCCCTCACATAGCCTTACAACAGGGAGAAATCAACAGTAATGTCCATACTAATGCTTTATTTATGCAAAAGTTACGATTGGGCCCTACATGCATATAACAGCTGCACATGCACATTACAAATTGCCACATCAATACTTAATTGGTCCTAAAAAAAAACATGTACTCATAGCTGTTTTGCTGTTTATTTGTTCCAGTTGAGAGACAACAGGGGTGACTACTGCCGTCACTCCCTGTGTGTATGAGTAATATTAGCAGAGAAGGGTTTAGATTGTGTTGAAGTGTGCACAGTCGTTTACTAGTGGTGGGGATGGTTAGGCCTTGGCTGCAACGGTAAGGCAGAGCGGAGAGATGTTGGTGGAACAGTACATCCAAGAACTCCAAAGTTCATGATATCAGGTATCAGTCTAATGTTCCGAGCTTTGCTATTAGTTCGTCACAGATCTTTGTGAGCTCCTCAATTTCTTGGTTCTGTGAAGAATAGAGAGATAGGTAGAGATGGTTCAATCAAAGATTCAGCATTTAAATTGTTTTTTTGTGACTAACAAATGCGACATCGTGAAACACTTCCTGGTCGAAATGCGACATTTTGTGCTTCTCATTGGGAACCATTGATAACTAACAGAATTATTGTATCCAGTTATTATTTTACTATCAATGATTCCTACAGACACATTTCCCCCTAGGGACAAAGTCAAGCCAAGTCAAGTCAATTTAACTCAAGTCAAGTCAAGTACCTTCTGATGGAGAGCTCTCTCCAAGGAGTCTACCTTCATCTGCTCCTTCCTCAGGCTGGCATGAAGAGCCACACTCTCTGAGTCGGCCCTGGAGCGCACTTGGGCGATATCTTCATTTGCCCTGCAACACAGCAGAGAGGGGAACATTAGAGAAAGAAAAATAAAAATAGAAGACCTCACACAGAAATGAGAGAGAGAGAGAGATCCATAGAAAGATAATGTCCCTCGCCTCAACAGTACATAGTAGCCAAATGAACAATAGGCTAGATAAGGTGTATTTATATTTAACATGATCAGATATTTAACATTTAAACATTTACCGTCTCAATCTCTAGAGTCAAGACTCAAATCATATAAAACATCTGCTGAAAAAGCAGTCGAGATACAAGAAATACTAAATTAATGTGTCTGTCGTTACTTGTCTAGTTTTTCCTCTGCGTGGATCTTGAGTGTGTGGTATCTCTGTTCCTCCTGTCTGACACGGACCAGGTACTCCTGGGCACACTTCTTCAGCACCTCTTCATTCTGCACACACACACAGACAGTAAAAAAAAAAAGGAAAACTGAATAACCTTGTATCTCCATTACAGGTAGTCATTTTGTAAGCAACAGTCAGATACAGAAAAAACAGTGACACTAATAATACCATTTCATCCAATTAATAAGTGCTTTTCTAAACATAAAAGGACTCTGTACATCATAACATCAACAAAAGAAGAATAAAAAGTACAAAAGGTACAAAAGGTTCAGTTCAACGTCTAGTTTTGATTTACATTTGGTTGAGTTGTCAACTAACGTGAATTCAATGTGAAATCTGCAAAATAAATTGCCATGTCATTGGATTTAAGTTAAAAGTTGGGTGAAAAAAATAAGAAATGCCCTTACGTTGATGACTTTTTGCAAATCCAATTAGTTTCCAAGGTTGACTCAGTCATCACATAGATTTTTTGGGTTGAAACGATGTGGAAACAACGTTGATTAAACCAGTTTTTGCCCAGTGGGTCACTTCTTCAACAGAACCTCTCTAGTCTTAATCTAACGTTACACTCACGTTCTTAAACCTTCTCTCTAGTCTAGTGTTAACACGTAGCCTACCTTCTTAAAGCCTTCCAGGACGGTCTTCATGTTCTCGTAGCGTCTGAAGAGGTCAGAAAGTGAGCGCTCCACAGAGTTGAGGTCAGCCAGGGCCTGGTCCCGCTCCAGGATCACCTGCTGGATGCTCTTTTGGGAGCCCAGGACACTCCTCTTGTGCTGCTCGTCCTCTGTAAAGGTCACAGGTCAAAGGTCAGATAGTTGAGGTACATCCGAACAAGGATGTTGGGTCCAAGGGTGTGTCTCAATAGTCTAAGGCTTGTTACTGTTGTCTAGTTCCATGGATTTGCACTGATTTGGAATTAAATGGGTTGGTGAAAGCCATAAACTGGTAGGCATCCACCATATTGCTTTCACCTATCCCATGATTTCATATCAGTGCAGATCAAATGAACTCCTCAATGAACTTACCAATCATCTGTGCAACGGTTTTCTCGTACTCTGCCACTATTTTCCTACAAGAGACAGATAAACACAGGAGAGAATTAAATAAAAATGAAAAGGTTTCTTTTCAGTCTAAAATGTTTATTGTGAGTTTGTCTATTTTAAATATGATTAACTCTGAATTATGGCAAACTAAAACAACAGTGCCATATAATACCTCATCTCTAACACCTCCATGCGGCTTTCTTCATACTTTCTCTTCCATTCATTGGCTTCTATCTCTTTAGTGATTATCTGTTGGGGAGAAAACACTCTAGGGTTAGAAGAAGCTTGACAGCCAGGCATCCATTTGCTTGCTACTTGTTGATTATTTATGTATGTTTACTATAGTATAATATAACAGAAGTACTGTATTATGTGTTCAGTATTACAGTGACAGTCGGCAATCAGGGAACTGGGCCTTTAGCTCAGAGGGCTAGCTCTTGGTGTTACCTAGGTTGTGTTCATTAGGGCAGGCAACGGGAAATGTTTTTTAAAGGAAAATGTGCCTTTCTTATTAGTCAAGGTAGCCCCTCCCTATTTCTGTTTGGTGCCTAATGAACACGACCCAGGTTTTATCAGTCAGTTACTGTACCTCCTCTCTGATCAAGGTGAGCACTGCTGCTTTGTCCATCTCACTTTGCGATATGGTATCCAGGGAGGAGGGACTGCCTTTGTCATCGTGACCCTCACAGCCAATCAACTTTGGCCCTGGGGTGATTGACAGCTCTTCACTCTGTAGACACCAAGGACAAAACATGTCAGTCTGGGCTCTAATGCAAACTGGCTTCTATTGAAAAATCATGACGACTAACAAATCAAAAGATCTAGGCCAGGGATGGGCAACTGGCAACCTGCGTGCCGCATAGCTCTTCTTTTGTAGGCCCGCAGATCAATTTCCAAAAACAGGGCCCCAACCCAAATTATTTATTTATGTAAAAAAATTACATGTAGCAACTCAGTCGGGGTCTCAATTTACTGTTGAGAGTTAGAATAGTAGAATTCACAAGGTGCAATTTCTAAATTTGGTTGTGTATCAGCAGTTTTTATCTTGTTATGTCAATCACTGACAGTCACTCAATTAGCCATTTCAGCTAACAATGTTTAGATTGGTAAGTTAGTCTAGACAGCTATCGAAACTTGTAGTAATCATGGCCGAATACTGACCAGGCATGCAGGGCACGTGCCCAGGGGCACTGACCTCCAGGGGGCCCCCATTGATTTTGCAAGTCACTCTCACTCAGATATCATATTAACGTGGCATAAGTAATGGCAATATGTGTAGAATTCCAGGAAATTAGCTTTAAAACTATAAACATTTCTCTCCATCCCATAGCAAAATGGATAGAATTGCAGGATATTAGCTGTAAAACTGCATATTTTTCTCTCTGCCTCATGTCAAAATGAGTAGAATTGCATGAAATCTGTTAAAACATTTCAAACTGTTCACTCTGCCCCATGGCAAATTGTGTCGAATTGCAGAAAACGTGCTTTAAAATTGCAAGACTTTGTGTAGAATTGAAGGAAATGCTAAATTTCTCTCTGCCGTCAAGGCGGGGCCCAATAAAATGATTTGCCCGCGAGGTGGGGGGGCCCCCCAACCACATCTCGCTTAGAGCCCCCAAAAGGCTAGAGCCGGCCTTGGCTACTGGTATAATACATTTCGTTAGGAGAGTTAAGTAGTTTAACTGCACAAATGGATTGCACAAATCAGTTGACTGCATGTGTGGGTATGGATGAGGGTACACTGACACGCGAGCCACTGCGGCCCCCCATGATGAGTTCAGATATTTTGTGGCCCCCACCCCCATTAAAGTTGGCCAGCCCAGATCTAGGCCTACTTACCAAAGTGCAAATGTCTTTCTCATCCATACAGTGTGTTATCCTCGCCTGTGGACCTGAGGGGAAAAAAATAAATAATGAATCAGTATCATGAATCAGGGGACGGAGATGGAAAGTCATTTTACTCAACACTTGATTTTCAATGGCCACTAGGTGGCAGTAAAACCTATTATGAGATTCAACAATCCAAGAGGCTCTTCAGAAGCTGTTTTTCTGCTTTGTCTGTCCTCTAGTGTAATCTAATTGAGCTAATCTAATCAATTGTCTAGGACTGCTTCTGGCATTTTAGCTATGTTTGTTTTCTTGCCCCTTTAAGCAGAGTCCCTTTGACTATGACTTGATTATTGGATACATCTAAATCCAGGGTTCCCTAACTTTTTCACTCAGGCCCCCCTTCCATCATTGGGGAACATCCTGTACATCTTATATGTATTCATGTGATATCTGAGTGACTCAAACATTACAACAAAATCAATGTGCTAAAAAACCTAGCTAAAAAACATTAACTGACATGGGCTAGTTGATCTGGACATTTCTAACAAGTAAAAAATACTGTAGCTCTCTTAGGTCTGCAATGACAAGAAGAAAACTGATGATGTACTACCCAATTTCAAAATTGCACCTTGTGCATTCTATTATTACAACTTTCAAGAGTAAGTTGAAAGCCCGACTGAGTTCCTTAAAAAAGGAAAAGGAACTAATCTAATAATATAACTAAACTCAATCACAGTTAGAAAAACAGACAGTTCTGAACAATGCATGCCTGAGTGCGCAGACTCTTCACACTTACTAGAGTTTCGCAAGAATACCCTCGGCTACACATTTACTGCAATGTAAACTTGCGAACTTGTCAAGTCTCGACCACAACACTCGCCCGACAGTTGCCCCCCCCCCCCCCCCCCCCTTTAAGCAGGGCCATGTAAACAGAATTGTCTCGTTGAGCCAACACTCTTACAGTACAAATTGTAATAGCATAGCAATGTTTTTAAAACAGCTGAACATGTATAGACATTTTCCTTATTTTTTTTACTTGTTTTATTGAGTTTATACCTGAAATTGTAGCCGTAGCTTTAAATCTGTGTTTCTTTTTTGCTTGACTGCACTGAGCTACTGAGGTCCAGGCAAGAAGCAACACAGGGAATTATCAACATTTTCAGTCGCAATTTCCTTTGACCTCATAATGACTTCCATGTTATTGATAAAATGAAGCCTGGTTTGTTCTGAGGTAACTTTAATACTGTAGCTAGTGTAAGACTAAGAGCTCCTGTCTAGCTATGGTTCAGCTAAACGTCAGCATTCAGCTACAGCTAGCACGATTACGTGAGGATGCAGAAATGATTTTGTTTCGCTAGCTTGCTAGCTAACGTTACCTAGCTGTGTAGCCTATATTATAATATGAATGACACTGTATGATAGCTTTGCTGTACTTTTATATTCGTATGGGAGGGTAGCTGAGGAACCCTCAACTCTGTTCTCTTATATTGAGGCGGAGTTGAGTTTTGATAACTGATCGCTGTATTTACTAGCAACAACATTGAGTCACTATCAGTAGATTTAAATAAATAAAAAATCAATTCTGAATACACTTCACGGTACTTATGTTTTTCCTGTACAACTGCGGTCCTTCCGCGGGGTGCTGAAACTCATATTTCGAATAAAATCTTTTAGCGAATACAACCGCCAACCTTTTCCTCATTGCTCGTACTACATAAATTGAGATTCAATTGGGTCCGTGCAATCCATAATCGTTGGGACGTCCCTACCCTAAATCCTAACCTTAACCCCTACCCTAACCTTAATCATTACCCTACCCTAACCTTAACCATTTAAAAGTTCAACTTCAATGTGGTAGGGACATCCCAAGGATCCCGGATAGCACGGACCCAATTGAATTTCAGCTTACGTAGTACGAGCAACGAGTAAAAAGTCAGTGGTTGTATTTGCTAAAAGCTTTTAGAATTGACTGATGGTGACTCAATGTCGTTGATAACAAATCCTGCGACCAATCATCAAAACTCAACTCCGCCTCGATATAAGAGAACAGAGTTGAAAGTTCATTATTTGATCATGAAGCATGTTGTTAGTTAGCTGTGTATGGACGAGAAAATAAACCCTTTAATTGTCTGCACCTGCTTGGGGATTGTTGCATTATTCAATATTGTAATATGTTTTAGAAGAAAAGTTGCTCAGATTGTTAAATGGTTTGTGCTTACTGGCTACTGTGATATTTATGGTCAATTTGAGCTGCGGACGAAGAATGTCACGTTGCCAGCCACAACGAAAGGTAAGGCAAATATGTAATGTGAAGTGAAAAGTAGAAATCTCTTTCGCCACTCTGCTCCTCAGACGCTGCTTAATCTCTCGAAGTGGGAATAGGGCCTCTAGAACAGTAAGGAAAGTAGCTATTGGCTGTCCTAAAAGTCGCTAAATGACATCATCACCTAATTTGCATAATTGGCCATGTGCATGTAATTGTGATGGACGCTGTAGGAGAGAGGAATAACGTTGTGGGAGAGACAAAAAGTGAGTAAAAAGCTGCCTCAGGACTGGGCCACCTGTGAGTGCTTTGGGAGGGGGGTGGGGCCCGTAGCACCTGCTGCTCGTTGAGAAGAGTAAGAATGATACGTGCTTTCACGTCAGAGTCTCCAATAACACCAGAAAAAGTCGCTAGATTTGTCACTAGTCGCTTTTTTAAAAATGTGTCTCTAGAGGGGTCTGAATACTCGCTAAATATAGCAACAAAGTAGCTAAGTTGGCAGCACTGCTATAGAATAGGCCTAATCAGCTATGTTTATTCTCCTTTAAGTGCACTGCTATTTGCTGCATGCTTAAAATGATCCACAGCTCATTTTTAAAAGAAGCTAATGATCATCTGTGGCCAAATCATGCTCTCTGGTGTAGTATTTCGAAAGATTGTATTTATTTCTGTATAGGCACAAGTAATTATATAGCTAATTTGGGCAAATTAAATTTACTTTAAGGGAAGCTTATTTTACCCTAGCCTATTACACGTGCCACCTGTGCCGACATCAATGTGAAAGTAACCGGTGCATAAAACAGCTGGCCTCGAGGCTTACAAGACCAAGTTCAATGCCGATATCAGATTCAAAGCAATCGGCTGACTGACAAAGCAAACTCTGGCACTGTCTCTGCTTTCTTAAAGTGGGAGAAAGGCATGCAGGCTGGCAGCCAGTGTTGCCAACTCCTCAGTAAGGAAAGTAGCTATTGGCTGTCCTAAAAGTCGCTAAATGACCTCATCACCTAATTTGCATAATTGGCCATGTGCATGTAATTGTGATGGACGCTGTAGGAGAGAGGAATAATGTCGTGGGAGAGACAAAAAGTGAGTAAAAAACACCCTACATTTACATCCCGCCCTGAATGTAAGCCAGGGCGGGATCAGCCAGCGGCGGCTTCCCGCATGCGCGATTCATTTGCAGTCTGGACGCGGAGGGGTGAACATCTCCTGCTCTGACTGCAGCTGGGAGGGACTGCTGCACGAGGACTGGGCCGCCTGTGAGTGCCCGCTGCTCATTCAGAAGAGTATGAACGATACGTGCTTTCATGTCAGAGTCTCCAATAACTCCAGAAAAAGTCGCTAGATTTGTCGCTAGTTGCTTTTTGGAAAATGTGTCGCTAGAGGGGTCTGAAAACTCGCTAAATATAGCGACAAAGTCGCTAAGTTGGCAACACTGCTGGCAGCTTCTCCGAGCGATGCTCTGCATGGTCCTAAAGCCAGCCTATCAATACGCTAAACAGCCTTTACATTTTAATCGGGATTGGAATGATTTGAGCCTACTTTTTTTTTTTGTTGAAAAAAAAGGTATTGAGCTAGGGTATGGCGACTGCCAACTGACGTCCCTGCCTGAGAGCAAACCAAATGTACCATCCAGCAGCGCCTGGCTTTTGACATTGGCTGGGCCTTTAGCTGGGCTTTTGGCACACGCTGAGTCTTCTTCTTCCTCCACCTCCACCTCGGCCTCCTCCTTGGCTTTCTGGCCCATGATGCCACTGCAAGCCAGCTTTTCCTCATCGGTGGCATGGCGAACACGGCGGGGCATTCCTTGGACCTGGGACACCACAGCATCCTCTTCCTGTAAACAAGAGAATGCAGTGCCAGCGTGCTGTCAGTCTAGAGGACGATAGAACACTGATGTGATGGTACTAACTGTCATTGCTGTATTAAATTCAATGTATTCCATCTGATAGGCGGTGATAATCATTCTATAATTAAAGCCATAATGTAAAATGTGCATACTGTACCCTCAGAGAATAAGTCCACCAACAAAAAATCATAAACAATGCAGCAATATTCCAAGGTGCATTCCATATGCATTTCAACATGCAAATAGTACTTGATTTCTATGATATTATAGTATTTCTGTTTGGTTTCTCAAAGCATTACATTTGGGGGTCACTTTAAGTAGTTTGATAGTCTATTGAAGTACAATGGGAGGTCATAAAACTTGATGGCACACGGCCTCTATAGACTGATAATCAGTGCTGAAAGATGAGTAATGCATCTGTCAACACGCCAGGGTTGTACTGCAGTGCTAGAGACACACTGATGAGTGTGTGAGAAAGGGATGCACTGGTCAGCATGAGAGGGAAGTGTGTGTGTGTGTGTAAATGAGATGAGGTAACCTACTGAGTAATAAACATTGCAGTGCCACTGCAGCAAGGTTATATTCAGCTGATATTACACACACACACACACACACACCTACCTGATTGCAGACATCCAGGACCAGGGACTGGTTTTCATACTTCTTCACCTTACAAGAATTCCTAGAAGAAGAACACAGGCAGAGGATTTGTAAATAAAAAACATAGCACTGGTTATTGGGGCACTTGGCCAAGATTAAACGTTTACTGGACATGTAATTGTTCAGGACAGGTATCTAATAAATAGCTGTTGTCTAAATGTGGATGACATTGTAAACACTATAGGTCCCATTGGTCTAGTCAGTGTTGCACACTACAACACTGTTAAAAATCCTATGCAGATAGAAATCTGCTGTTTAACTTTGCAAAGAGTAACAAGGCAACTGTTCAGGAAATAGCCAACTAGCTAATGAAGCTTTTTTTCAAGGAGGAGGGTTCACGTGCCAACAAGCAGTAATGCAGGTCACTAAAAGCTTCTTCACTGAGCTCTCATCATAACAACACATGCAATGGGACAGAAAGCAAAGACGGCAGACCAAGCGAGAGAGTGAGTGGGGGAAGAGAGAGTACTACTTACAATAGAAAACAGAGAAACTTCACTTGTTCAGTGGTCCTGAGGCAAACAAACACAAGGTGGGAGGGGAAGCAGAGAAGGGGTGCATGATAGACAGACAGTGGAGGTTGGTTGGGTGGGAGGGAGGAGGTACAACGGTGGCACAGAGAACATTTTGGGAATGAAGGATGAAGGAGAGAGAGAAGGAGGAGTGAGTAGAGGTGTTCTGCTCAGCATTAGAGATGAAGGAGTTAGGTTTCTAGGGGGCTGAGGGTTTGGCAGCGGGCATCTGACACAAACATTAGGATGCCAGTGACTTTGCAAAAGGCAAAAGGAGATCCACCACCTAAAACAACCTGTGTATGAGTTTAAACTAGTGTGAAAACCATGAGGGAAGGTTTGATATCACATACTGTAGGATAATGAGCAGGAAGACAATTTTAATGTTTTTCTTCTTGCTAGGACAAAGCACATTTCTGAAAACAGAATTACCCTGAAGAAGGCTATACTAGTGGTGGAACACAACGCATGCTTTGGATTGACGTGCTGAAATGCTGAGCTGTAGGTGTAGTGGACTTACTTGATGATCCTGTCCTTGCTTTTCTTTGGAGGCTGGCACGTTTTCTTCTCCTCCTCCAGAGGGCGATCCAGCTTTGGTTTCACTGCTTCCTCTGCTGGCCTCTCAGGGGTATCCAGGGAAGTTGGGTTTTCACTGCCCAGGGCTTTAGACGGCTTAAATGTGTCCACTGAGTCGTCAAAGTTCTGAGGATCAAAGCTGTAGGATCCTTTGGGCAGAACTGGGGAACCGCTCATTTTGCCACCACCACCCCCAAAGGGGTTAAAATTAGGGTCATCCCACTGGTTGGGGTCAAACTTATAAGTGGACTTGGGAATTGGAACGTCATCCAAACTTAAGGAGGCACCTGGCACGGAAAGCGGTTCGGAAGCTGTTTCTGAAACTGTCTCTGCTACCGGTTCAGCTACGACTGGTTCGGGTGTCGGCGTCGGGGCAGGTGCTGTCGTCGTTGCTTTGGCCTTTGGCTTCTTGACGGCGAGCTTGCTGCCAGGCTTTTTACTCAGCCTCCTCGGCTGTGTTTTTTTTACCTCGCCTGCCTCGTCTAACCCAAACTCCATCTTCACAGGCTTGGGCTCCTCTGATGCCTCCGACGATAACTCTTTGACCTCCTCAACCTCCATTTTACGTGAGGAACTAGTCCTGCAAAGCGGTGGAGAAGAGCTACGTACAGGCAAAGGCTCCAGTTTGGGAAAGGAGCTACTTACAGGTAGCGACTCAAGTGTGGGCAGGGCATCGGCTGCAAAAGCTGGCGGGGAGTTCTGTATCTTGGAGCCTCCAGTGGCGAACGGGTTAAAGCTGTCGTCAAACTGGTCCGGGTCGAAGTTGTAGCTAGCTTTAGGGATTGTGATGATGTCAATGTCCCCATCCCCCAGTGTGCTAGCCTCGCTCAGGGCTGTCTTTATCTTCAGGGAAGGGGGCTTGGTTTTAGTGGTTTTAGGGATTTTAGTAAGTTTGGCCTGCGGTTCAGAGATGGTCTCAACGGGGTGTCCATTACAAACTGTCTCTGTGCTGCTGGACAGTGGCCTCTCTTCCTCGGGTTGACCTAAGTCCAGAGAAGTAGCCAGTGGCTTCTCCTCAGGTAGGCCTAAGTCCAGAGAGGTAGCATTTGGCCTCTCATCAGGTAGACCTAAGTTCAGAGGAGGGCTGGTCATTGCTTCTCCATTGGCCTGTGCTGGTGGGTCTGCTGTGGAGGGTTGAACCTCTGCAGTGTCTGTTGTGTTGGGAAGTGTTTGGGGCCCATCCTTAGGGTCCACGGGGGCCTCCTCCTTAGGGTTCACAGGGGCCTCCTCAGGAGCCAAGGGGGGCTCAGCCTGGCCCATGTTCTGGTTAAAGAGGAGGCTATGAGCTGGATCCCCAGCTAGGCCAGACACCATCAGCTGTTCATCCTCCTCCTCCAGGGTATCTGGTGAAAGCAGGAGAGAGGATATGACAAATTAACTCAAAAAGCAGTAGTAGCTGCCGGAACATAAATACAAAACATAGCCACAAATACAAAAGACGATGATCAAAAATGTAATTTGGAGTGTCCTGTAATTTCAACAAAAAAGCCTTCTCAAGGCAGGATATTAAGAGATGTTAATATTCCTTGGTTGCTACCAATCTCACAGTAACATACAGTTGCATCTGTTTCCATGGTTACGCTTTTCTTTAAAAACCTAATAACATAACAATACATTTGCGTGTTCTGGAAACTCTAATAAGGGAATATGGAAAAGCCATAACAGGTCAGATTGAGAGTGTATGGGTTGAGGGAGCTGTTGCTGTTGTTGATTTTGCAACACTGCCCAGAGGAATGTACAAATGTTTCCTGATGGCCGTCATCCTCACAGTTTTCATGCAACAGTCTGTTGCTAAGAGACAGGGGGCAGCAAAGGCCCTAGTTTATTTATATACAGTGGTGTGGAGGAATTCATATGCTACAGTGTTTAATGCAGCGTTGATCCTCTTATTCAAAATATTTAGAGCTAATCATCACTAAGCAAAGTCAAATCTTTCCATCAGTATGTTTACGTACGTGTGAATGGGTGCTTCAGTGTGTGTGTGTGTGTGTGTGTGTGTGTGTGTGTGTGTGTGTGTGTGTGTGTGTGTGTGTGTGTGTGTGTGTGTGTGGAGAGAGAACAAGAGAGGGCTGCAGAGAGAGGTACAGTATAACTACAGACGTAGGATCTTAATTTGAGCCAGTTTGCTACAGGAGGAAAATAATCCTGCAGCAACAGGAAATGTGAATTATTATGTGGATTATAATTAATGGACATTTTTGTAGGGGTTGATACATTTTTCATAAGGCAAAATCAAGTCTGAAAAAGTGGAAATTACAAACTTCACCCTTACAAAAAAAGATTGCAGTTTTGAAACTGCAGTAAAAGTGCAGTAACTGCAGTCAACTGTTTCATTAAACCTCAAATACACTACAAGTTTTACATTTCCTGCATTGCAAATTAAGATCCTACATCTGTACAGCTTGGACAGAGCAGATCTGATTAACTGCTCTAGAATCAGTTAATCAAATTTCAGATCTCTGTACCCAGGGAATCAAGGTTATGTTACTGAATCCATCTTTATTGGAGATAGAGAACATGGCTATATTGCTATATTAACAAGAAGACATATTTCTGATAAGAAGTTTTGCTGCAGTGTCATCATTTGTCAAAGTCTCTACTATGCCATTATTAAGTTGGGTCTTGATACTGCAATAATACTAAGGCTAACTCTCACTGGACATAAGTACCTTTGTACTCATTTGATACAAATAATCATAGTATAAAGGAAAATACAGTTATATATTTTATAATATACGTTATACTTATTGTCGGCATTAAGGTTTTTAGTTCAACCCTAAAACAATATAGCACTCGCTTCTTTTCCTGCAGTAGCCAAATGCAGCGCTAAGGACCTATAGTAGAAAAAGACTAGACAACAGGGCAAGCCAATACATTCCCCAAGTTAAGAGTGGTTATATAAGCTCTCTCACCAGGTCTGAACACTTGCAATCAACTTTCTCTTAACTTAATGTTTTCAATTGTTCCTTTGTTCCTCCACAACTCCGATAACATTCACATGGACAGCTATACTGCACATATTTTTGAGAGATGGCTGCTTTTGTCAGTGACTTCTATTCTATTTGAAAAGTATGATCTCCTGCTACTGTGGTCTGACATTGAGGCATGTTGAATGCATTATCCCAGGCCGATAATAGCTATCTATCGTCACAGCGACAAGAGGTTGAGCTTATAGCAAACAATATGTGTCTAGTTTCAGGAAACAAGGCATATGTCGCTACTTTACAGGAGAGCCATTTGAACGTAAACTTTTTTTAAAAAATCAAAATGCGTTTTTTGGCAGAAGTGCCTTCTGGAACATGTGAACTTTCATGTGCCTTAATAACAAACTTGTATGCCATCTGTAAATACAAATAAAATTGTTAAATTACGAGCCTAGTTGGTTAAGCCACAGAAAAAGACAGCAACCTTCCCACTAGCCATGATTGGCTGAGATAATGAGTGGGCTGGACATGCCGAGAGAGGAGTTTGGATTGGTCTGCCATATAGCATGCTTCTGTCTATTTGAGCTGGTTAGTATGTGTAGGTAATAATGTCTAACGCTGCTTTTAAACATTTTTTATTGTGTAGTGGAACTGCATAAGTGTTGCTCTCCACTTTCTGGAGGATCGAGTTTTGAAATCAGTGGAATTAGAGTGTGATAGCTAAAGAGATGGAGAAAACACCTGTCTCCAGATTACATCTTCAAACTAAGGGCAACCATGTAATCCGTGACAGGGAGACACGTCCATCATGCATGATGTATACGGATAAGATAGTCTAGCTAGCTACATTTTCAGATATTACACGTTTCTAATTTTGACAGAAAGTGGTTTCATTTCAAGTTAAAGTGTACTGTTAGCTAGCTAGCTAACGTTAGCTGGCTGGCTCGCTAGCTAATGTTAGCTGGCTGGCTCACTAGCTAACGTTATGTGTATAATCTTATTATTCGTATCTCAGAGCCATTTGCTTGCTAACATTGAACCTGGTTGGTTTGCTACCTGCAGATTCATGCAGGGTAGTAACGTCATGAGTTGGGATTATGGTTCATTGTTTAGCTAGCTAGCTAACGTTAGCTGGCTGGCTCGCTAGCTAACGTTACGCGTATGGTCTTATTATTTGTATCTCAGAGCCATTTGCTTGGCTAGTTAGAGCCTAATGTTAGCTAGCTAACATTGAACCTGGTTGGTTAGCTACCTGCAGATTCATGCAGGGTAGTAACGTCATGAGTTGGGATTATGGTTCATTGTTTAGCTAGCTAGCTAACGTTAGCTGGCTGGCTCACTAGCTAACATTACGTGTATGGTCTTATTATTCGTATCTCAGAGCCATTTGCTTGGCTAGTTAGAGCCTAATGTTAGCTAGCTAACATTGAACCTGGTCGGTTAGCTACTTGCAGATTCATGCAGGGTAGTAACGTCATGAGTTGGGATTATGGTTCATTGTTTACCTAGCTAGCTAGCTACAAGTCTTAACAAAAGACTCCACTATGCAAATAACAATTTCGGGTGCGTTAATAAATTCAGTCTGAGTATGCCACAGTACAGAATAACTGATGAATTTACGAACGCACAACACCCGTTGAATATGGCCGGTCTCAGTAAACGTTGGCAAAAAATAGTAATTAAATTGTTGCCAGCAGCACAGTTACAGTCACCAACGTTCTGGATAACATAAAAACAGCCTAACCAGCTCTACTAGGGTGAGTAAAATGGTCAGTGGGGTGTTCTCTCACTGACCATCGCCCTAGCAGAGCTGGTTAGGCTGTTTTCATGTTATCCAGAGGTCTAGCCAATGCTAGCCAGTTAACTTGGGTGCTTGACTGCCATTGTGAGGTCAGAACGCTCGGATCAACCCTACTCATCGGCCAGAGCATCAAGTGTGCGCTCTGAACGCTCCGAGAGCGAAATTAGATGGGTGGGGCTAAAGCTTAAGAGGGTGTGAACTATGCTGAATGGGTGTAGACAATGAAGTGCTCTTCAGTAGGCACCAAAACATTCAAAGGCCATTTTCTCAAAAGTGTGATTACAAGTTTATCAACTTTCAAAGCAGAATTACTTTCCCATTGTTCCCTTAAATGCAGTGTATGATATACCACTTTGTAGCTCTGTGTCTCTGCTTTTATCCAAAGAAAAAAAAAACAATTTCAAATGTTGCTACATAAGACCGAATCAAGGCGGTCGGTCACATATTGAAAACAGAACTTTAATGAAACTGACATCGACAATATAAACATTAGTCAAATTCCAAAGGACCCTTTACTTCTCCAAACATTTTAGTTTTGCCTGCAAGGTGTATCTTGACAGTGGAGAGAGGGCTCTATTTTCTGCTGGTGTTAAGGCGGCGCTAGTGTTTGAGGTGTGTCCTTAAAAACATGATCGAAAGTGCTAATTTCAGGCAGCGCTGATAAGGATATTTAAGACCAACCAAAAGCTGGTTTTAGCGGTAAGGCGGTTGGTTATGGCATGAATTTTGACAGCCTATCCAGCCGTGAAGCACACTGCCCATATGCGCATGGAACAACAGTAGCCTAATGTGCTTTTGGTGCCTGTATACTTTGTATTTAGAAACATAAAGAACTAATGTTTTTTCACATTTAGTTTTATTTGGTTTAAAATCAAGCATAGCCTCCCCTCCTCTCAATTAAGGCTTTTATTGTCCTGCCCAATGCAATCGCTAAGTAATCAAGACTGTCGATAAAGGGTTTGGCTGCTGAGACCGCTTGGAAATAAATCTTAATCACCAACGCTTTATTAAAATATAAAGTTTGAGAGGAGTAAAACAGTGAGTTGACATTCAGTTTTTATCTATGCATTGTAGGCAAGCCCACATTATTTTAGCCATGCAGGTCCTATTTTGGATATGCATAAACCCCCCTCCTCTACGCGTCCATGCCCATCATGAAAGGAGAGATGAGAACATCTGTGAATACCGGTGAACCTCGTATATAGAAGTTATCTGTAACCTGTAACAATGGCTTGTTTTCCGTTTCATATGTTCAAAACTCAAGCCCTCCCTTAGGCCGACTATAACGAAGGCTGATTCAACAGCAATGTCTTTTTTATCCTGGCAATTTTATGATATCATTACATTTATTGTTGTAAAAAAAAAAATGTTTTCGTTAAATTTTATTACAACCATTGTTTTTAGAATGATTCACCTTCCTGGTTTTATGGTTACAATGTCCATGTCGCGCATGCAATGCAACTTCTGTAGATGTGTGCATGCAATCTGATCTGTAAGATGGTTCCGATTATGTTCATAAAACATAGGCCTATCTGGGAGCAGTATAAAGTGAGTGGACATTCTCCCTTTTCTATTTATATTGGATCTTTGTCCAGCTACTGTGAAACGCTTGGATGTGCTGTAAAACCAGAGGCGCAACTTTCACTGGGGACGGAGGGGACATCCCCACATTCTGAAATTGCATTTTTGTCCACCCCAGTTTTATAATTAGAATGTGATACAAAACGACGCAACAGTATGCTTTAGGACCATGCGGACGCCTCAGAGCGGCCGGGTAGGCTGTTTGGAGTGTTTATCCGACTGGATTAAAAAAATATATATATATATATGTCCCCCCCACACTTCTAAAACCAAAGTTGCGCCCCTGCGTAAAACCCTCTATAGTCTGTTGTTTTAATAATATTTGGCCAAGGGGAGAAATTATGGTGCCTGTAAGTGACATTGTTTCTGTCTATAAATCCTACAACATGCTTTTACTTTGCCAGAGATAGTTGAGCATTCAGAGAGTAGGACAAACATCAAAGTTGGTTATTTTTGTGTACACTACTAAACGTACTGCAGCTTCATCCTAGCCTGTTGCCAGATCTGTTTGTGCAGTCTTGCCAACTCATATGGTCTTTATTGGCAAACAGATCTGGGACCATTAGCAAGGCAGCACAAATGGATCCTGGAACAGGCTAGCTTCATGCTGCCAAGAACGGTCCCTTCTAAATGGCCAATGAGCTAGAGTTCAATCTTCTCCACAGCTGGCTGCGTGAGGAGGAGTGAGGAAACATCAGGAGAATGTTTGGGGTTGTGGTTGTGGAATAGAACAGAAGACAACTCCCTCGGTGCGTGCTGCCAGCGAACGCAGCCTTCTCCGACTCCACGGCTCACGAAGGACACTTTCACTACCCCAGGCCTGAGCAAACAAAGATAGCCTGGAAACATACTAGCCTATGCTATGCAATCCCACTCAAAGCAGTTTGAGACCCCCTGCTTTTACAGTCTCATATCAAAACACAGTGGAGTGAACCAAAACAAAGCTCTCAGAGATCAAAGACCCAGAGACGAAGAAATACTTATTTAAAAGTAACTTTGACAGAGTGAAAAGCAGCACGGCTGTCCAACTAAACTACGCCTCCTCAAATACTTCCAAACCAGTCTGAAATCCAACAGGTATGTGGTTGCATTGCATGCACTCTCTATGAGTTTTGAGACCATCTAAATTATCGGCAACATCTACTGGACATCATACAATGACAGGGTTTGAAATTAAGTGTTTCAAGTAGGCTACTTCAAAATATTGGGACTGGGACTAATATGGAAACTATTATTGCTTCACTGACTTGTAACGGGGCTAATAGATCCAAACTGGATCAATATATTGGAGACATTTCTAGATCCCTCACAGGGTAAGTCACTCTCATGACTTTTAACCCCTCCCATAGACAATTGAAAACAAAGAGGAGCAACTGCTTTTGTTCACGGCTGACCTCCCAAATTCCATAGTCCAAAGCCAATTCCTATGCAGGCCGTGGTCCAATTCTCTTCCCTTTACTTCTCCAATGTTACAATGTTAACATTTTATTTGAGCCACACATGCTATTGTTGTGGAGTGGCCTCCCTCAGTTTTACCTGAATGGCAAATATAAGTCCTTTATTCAGCCGATGACTTCCCACTGGGCACAGACGTCAATTCAACGTCTTTTCCACATTGGTTCAACGTAAAGTCATTGCAATGACGTGGAAACAACATTGATTCAACCAGTGTGTGCCCAGTGGGTTCTCTCTCACAACAAGTGTAATTGTTGGTGTGAATAAGGTAATTGTGTAGTTTAATATCAAGCTTTAAGTGCTGTGTAACGTTAATGGTCTTCATGAATGTCTAACAGTCAGATGCATACCTAGAGAAGTACGGTAGGCAAACAAAGCACATCTGTCTTCAATTACAGTGGCAAGGTACACTTCCCTCCGTTTGGCCACATGTCAGACGGAACATAGTTAAAATAGCTTTACAGTAGGTGCAGTTTAATCTAATGCAGTAGCAGTCCTTTGAGAGCAAATGCAATCTGCAGTTTCAGTTGAGAAAACATTATTGATCGACAGAGTCATCAAAAGGTCTGAAGGACTAATCTACTTGATTCCACCAAACACTATCTTTTGTTTATGAAAACAGCCTATTGAAAACCACGTCTGAGGTGACTGTTAAAAATTGAAGCACCATGATAGCGCGCACACACACATGGTTCCCCACAGGAAGTGCAAAACAGAGAAACAAAATCTCTCTTGTTACCATGGAAACTCCAAAGGAAGCCAGCCAGCTAACTGTAGATGTTGTGAGGGACAATTTTTTGCTATAATATCCCTACAATATCCCTCACTGTGAAGCTGCTATGTGTGGTATGTCATTATGACATAGTTATATGCTGTCATGTTGTTGTTTTTTGTTGTTGTTTTTAATTAAATATGTGCAAGTGATTTTCAGCATGTTTTGTGCCTACTTCTCTCTTTCTGTCCTTGTGTGTTGAAGGCAAGCAGCAGTGGTCTCACCTGCTCTGTCGGTGGTGAGGGTCTCCAGCTCTCCTGGGACTCTGAGTGGAGCGTGGACAGGACTCTGAGCCACTGGGGTCTCAAAGTGGCCCTCTGAGTCTGAACTGGAACGGAGAGAGAATGAGAGAAAGAGAGAGAGAAACAGGTAGAGAGAGAGAGAAAAAAGAGAGGTAGATGAGTATGATCATACCACTAGAATATCTGGAAATGCTAACTATTATGAAAATATCATTCTAGTGTGTGTACTAATGTAGATGTTCTAGTATGTGTACTAGTGTAGATGTTCTAGTATGTGTACTAGTGTAGATGTTCTAGTATGTGTATTAGTGTAGATGTTCTAGTATGTGTACTAGTGTAGATGTTCTAGTATGTGTACTAGTGTAGATGTTCTAGTATGTGTACTAGTGTAGATGTTCTAGTATGTGTACTCATTCAATGCAATGTGTTTGCATTGCTGTCATGTCCAAAACCAGTTGGGTACAAGTGATAAACAACTAGCAATAGTAGCTGTGACCGAAAACAAGACCCCCCACCATCCAAAGTTGTGCTATATGTATAGCAATTAAACACTGCTATAAAAACATATATTTTGCACGATCGTCTCTCTCCATCGCTATCACAAAGCCTTGAGTGATAACACTATCATCAAAGGCAGGGTAGTGTTTTGCCCCAACAAGGAACAGGAGACAGAGGGCACAGTGTGTGCTATATTAAGATGACATCACTCGTTGTACCTGTCTGCGGTGCTGGGGAATAACGAAGTACCTGAGACATTGTGAAATACTTACACAAACGTCACACACACAGTCACGCATTAACCAGTAAGCCTCTAACACAACAACAGACATGTCTGTTTGGAAGAACCCCATAGTAGAAAGAAACGATGTAATGGTCAAATGCATTTTCTTCTCTTTCTCTCTCTCTGCGCATTCCCTCTTTAGAACAACACTGACTTACACACCCCACAGGTGGACAGGCAAAGCAGGTGCCCCTCTCCCCCTCCTTCACCCATATGACACCCACTCTCCCCCTCCTTCACCCATATGACACCCACTCTCCCCCTCCTTCCACCATATGACACCCACTCTCCCCCTCCTTCACCCATATGACACCCACTCTCCCTCTCCTTTCCCCATATGACACCCACTCTCTCCCTCCAGCTGCCTTGTGGGTCTTTCACTCTGAATGCTTCAAGGTTCCAATGTAGCCCACAAACACACTCGCCTGCAGCCTTGAGATCCATCTTCCTCCTCCTCCTCTCGCTTCCCTCTAAGGGGCAGCTGTCCAACCTCCTCCTTCACCCCCTGGCCCTCCTCCTCCTCCTCCTCCTCCTCCTCACCGTCCTCTCCCTCCCCTGCTCCCCGGACCGCCGTCCACGTCCACTTGGCCCAAGACACGGGTGACAGCCAAGACATCCTCCTTGACAATGTTTTCGGCTTCCTCCTTTGGTCTGAATAGCGTAGACACTATCTTCTTGAGTTGTGTCTAGATAGACTAAATCAGTTCTGTGGTGTCTGAATAGACACTATCTGTTTGAGTTGTCTCCAATGGTTAACCAGTTGTTTCTATCTTATTCTCTCCTTCTTAAAGATGGCTCAATAAACCACCAGTTGTTCTTCATATCTTTAGTAGTAGCTCCTCTGGACTGTTTTCTTCTTCATGTTAGTGAAGGTGCTCCTTCCACTCTCCACTCTGCTGTTGATGTTCTGTTTGGGAACCTTTTCTCAGAGGGTGACAGAATGGAAAGAAGCTTCCAGTGCTCTCGCCTTTTCTTGCTCCCTCTCGCCCTCTCTCTTTCTGTCTGTCACGCTCCCGCTCTCTCTGCCTCTGTGGCAGAATACCACAGCAATGATCAGCTGGCTTCCAGAGTGCTGCCTAGCTCTCACTCTCACTCTCTCTCTCCCCCACGCTGTCTACATCAGGGCCAGTCCACTGTGAAAGAACATGGGGGGCGAAAGGAAGCTTGTGGTTCAAAAGATTGCTGTGCTCCCTGGGCCAGTGAGTGTGGCGGCCCCTGTGGTGACAGAGTGGTAGCTTCCAGTCAGGCAGCTGTTCCACTCTCATGCAAAAAGCAGAACAGGGAAAACGAACTGGGGCTGAGGAGAGTCTGGTGTAGCAGAGTGGTGGAGTCAGTGGAGCTCCACGTTTTACTGCACAGAGGGTTTTGGAATGTAGCCTCCCGAGCTCCCCGCCCTCAGGCTGTTTAACCGTTAACCGTTTCCCTCCTCCTCCTCCTCCGACCCGACAAGGCGGCAACAGCCAGACATGCATGACTGGACCAGACCGGGGAAACCTGTTCTGTCTCATAGCCCCCAGTCCCTCCCTGGTTCACGGACCCAATGGCCCCCCGTCACTCTCTGGCTCATTGTCCCAATAGTCATCGATTCCCTTCTTTTCCTAATTTCCTTAGGATGCTATTTTCCTTTCCTAATTTCCCTAGGAAATGTTCCTGTCCTTCATGAACGCTGACATGAAAAGGTCTTTATTGGTAAAAGAAATAGGTAGAATCCTGACCCTATCTTTTCTTAGCCTAGCAGTGAAGAGCGTTGGGCCAGTAACCAAAATGTCGCTGGTTCGAATCCCTGAGCCGGCAAGGTGGAAAAATATGCCGTTCTGCCCTTGAGCAAGGCAGCTAACAACAACTGCTCCCCAGGAGCCGATGACATGAAGGTCGATTAAGGCAGCTCCCTGTACCTCTCTGATTCAGAGGGGTTGGGTTAAATGCAGAAGACAAATTTCGGTTGAATGCATTCAGTTGTGCAACTGACTAGGTATCCTCCTTTCCCTTCCCTTCCCTCAAGCCGATCAGTTGTCACCAAGAAAAGGAGATAAGGAGAGGAAGCCATTTTAGATGATTGGGACACAACCTAGCTAGCTATCACTGATACCACTGATGGCTGCTTGAAATACTTGAAGAGCCTGGGGGAGCTGGCTGTTTGTTCCCCTCCAGTGATTTATGTTCAAGCTGACATCAATATTATGCTTCAGTTAAAGAACCACGAGAGCGCAGCCTGTCCATTGTAGACGAGAAAAACATTTTTACTCTGCCAGAATTCTTTCCACCATGAAGAGGGTGAAGGCTCTCTCTAGTTTAGGTTTCTGCCGTGTGGTTTGAAGATGTGGTTGAGAAAGTCAGAATATTTTTTTTAATGATTTATCCTTCTATTGTGTTTTCCTACATTGGAGAGTTATTGGTGATTCTATCAATGTTGTATTTCTGATCCGTTTTCCAGGTATTTTCCATTGTGTTGGGTTAAAATACTAATAAGCCTTAGCAAACTCTCTAAAGTGTTTGTTGTCTGAAATACCCGTCTTGACAACATGCTGTCTCCCATCGACTACTACTGCAGTGAGGAAATGAGGTGAGGTGGTGTAGGAACAGTTCAACCCAAAAAGCACGAAAAGGTCAAAGTGATCCAGAGAGAGTTGTGACACATGGTGATCTAGGTTTGTACAGCATTCAGTTACATAACCACTGACTGTCACCATAGATCTACATTATCTTCTAATCTACAACAGTCAATGAGATTCAGTCAAAACTGCCCAACTGAACAGCCTGTCCGAAGTGTAGAACTAAATTAAGCCATAAAGCATATACTTATTAGCATACTTATAATCATACTATTCCATCAATAACGTTCATCAGCATCAAAGTAAAAGGAATTGAGGTGTGTAGGCTACCCGCATACACATCACACATGGCCCCTTCACTGCTATATTACGCAACATCAAAAACAGATTGCTTGATTGAAATGCAAAGGCTGTGCTTGTTCATTCTAGTATAAAACCGACAGCCATACACATCAATGAAAAGGGTGAGGCAATGTACTGTGGGGTGCATGGGCCCCATTCCAAACAGGAGACTACCCAGTCTTGTAAGGTAAGCTGCTGTTACCTGCTTCTCCACTACTGCTGCTCAGGAGGATATGAGACTGCCGTTCTGTTATGTAACCCAAAGAGAGCTACATAGACAGGCTTCATATTTCAAACACACACTGAAAGTTATGAAGCTGAGGAAAACAGAAACCACATGCCACTGAAATGAGCAGTTACGAAATCATGTCCCACTTTAAACGAACAATATCTGTTAAGGCTTAATGAAGCTGTCGTAAAGCCTTTATAAAGCCTGTAGAATAACTAAGGAGTGCTGGGACTGCTGATAGTGGCAATTAGATTAGAGATTAGAAAACCTTTATTGTCCATTAAGTTTACACGGAATGGAAAATTGTATTTGGCGCTCTGGCTTACATTAAAAGGAATTGAAGTAGTAATCTGAAGATTGCTGCTGGTGTCTGTTCCCAGCTACCATCTACCGTTGTGCCCTTGAGCAAAGCACTTCATCCCAAAGTTGCTCCAGTGGCGGAGCACAACACAGGGGAGTTGGGAAAGACAAAGTACTATACAAATATATTCAACCAACCTGTTTAAAACACGACTTTCCTCAACATTTTTGGGATTTCCAAACCATTCACAGAAGAGAGTGTGTGTGTGTGTGTTTGTTGTGTATCTAATTGGCTGGTGGGTGTTTCCAGTGGAGCAGACCAGACCCTAGCTATTAAAGCTCCAGACAGGTTCCACCCAGCCTGCAGCCAGTGGCCTGGCTTCATCTGTTAGATCCCTTTGTTGCTGTTGGGGAGGTAGGGGAATAAAGGTGGACGCTTCTATATGTGAGGAATTCCAACAAGCCAGTTTCAATGGGGAGTGGCCTGGCTACCATCCCACTCCATATGTATGGGTAAACGGGATCCTCTCTGAGACAACAGTGAGCCAAATACACACAGACGACAGACAGTGAAACAGTCACAGACAGACACACACACACACACACACACACACACACACACACACACACGTGTAAAGAAGACAGCAAAGGAATATAACACATCCCCTAACACATTGTCTCACTGTCTCATCAAGGCACGTCCTCACTGACCTTAGCAACCTCTCACTTTTCTCAGCACAGATGTCACCAACAAAAACCCATCTGTGTTGAGTCTTGATGTCAGTCTTACTGAACATCCAATAACAACAACAACCTGGTATAGCCTTGCACAACAGCCCAGCCTGCTAACATTGTGTCTTTAGTGAGCCAAGCTGGGAGGAACAATAACAAGCGTACAGAAGTAGAAATCCTCTTTGGCTGCAGGCCCTCATGTGCTACTTCCTCTGTTCTCTTTTACCAAACAGGGTGGAACTAAGATTGAGATGTCCGTTAGTTAGGGAGGTGAATACCTCTGCAACACAGCATACACTAGTTCGTTAACACATACACACAGGCATGTTTAGAGAAACCCAACACTCTCTTTCTCTGATCTTGCTACCCGCTCAAACAGGTTCACTCACTATTTCATTTACACACAAACAGTGCTTGCATTTGTAGTGGGGTTTGTATTAGGCAGGCCCTCTGTCTGTCCTCACTGGTGCTATTTCTGTCTCCAGGCAGAGGAAGGTCTGTTATGTAAGGCAGGGCCCTTATTTCCTACTTCTTCACCGCAGTCACAGTCTTGTCCTCTACTATAAAGTACTAAGCCTCTTTTCTCTCCAAACTTCTCATGATGGGAACTTTGTAGCTGCTTGGTGTGATTCATGGTATTCAAAAGGGGATGTGAACTCTCTCTCTCTGAGTGAGAGTGAGAGAATGAGATAAAGGGAGAGGGAGAGAGAAAGAGTGAGACAGGATAAATAATAAGTAACACATGTTATATGTATTTTATTAGTTTACGTATTATACCAGCATCTGCCGGCTGTTGTAAGCCCCTATTTTGCATAGCCATATCGGGAAGTGACTCTATTTTGAGCGCAGTGATAATGATCATTGTTATTTTCTCCCACATCACATGCTGCACCTGTCCAAAAACCTGACAGGAAAAATCACCACCCACTGCACAACACAGGCCCAAGAACACAACATATTATAACAGTTATCTCAGGTGTCTGTATTAATGCTTGTTTTCTTTTCTTCATGTATTGTCAGAGAGTTGTAAAGATGGGTAAAATGAAAGTCGTTTTTCTAGTCTACACAGTTTGAGGAAGTGGAGACCACATCCGCCTACAGACATGACTATGTGTCTGTTGACATCTAAACTGCTATCCAATCATTACTTGAGACAGACCAACCATCTTTCCTATTTATGCCTTCCCTCAGTATGTTCTATCAGCCATGTGTCTACCTAGTATGTAAGGTTACATTTAGCCTGGTCCCAGATCTGTTTCTGCTGTTTTGCCAACACAAAATCAAATCAAATTTGATTTGTCACATGCGCCGAATACAACTGGTGTAGACATTACCATGAAATGCTCCTAGTGTTATTGTCACACCAGCACAAACATATCTGGGACCAGCCATGCTATGGGCCCTGGTCAAAAGTAGTGAACTACAGGTACAGTGGGGAAAAAAGTATTTAGTCAGCCACCA